TTTGTTAATATAGTGGTTAATTCGGTTATGTGAAGACATGGATCAATTGCTTAGGATATGGGGTGAAGTAATCGATCATAACAAAGACAGAGACAGATTACTTAGAAAACCGTTTCTTGAACAAGTTCATTATTTAATTTCGGATTTTAAAACCGCGAAATCTTTAAAAAAGTATTTCGATAAGATCCCTGATCATTTTAAGAAAAAGGTTGATGTGGCATTTCGCCAAAAATCTTTTAAATTAATAAGCTCTCCAACTTATAATTGGGATAAACCTGATACAGAAGAAATGCTCGCAATTCTGAAAAATCCTGAATTTAATTGGAATAAATCTGACCTGCTTGAAGTACTCAATGAAATTTCTCAATCAAATCAATTGTACATATTGCACGTGTTCTTAGATTTACTTAGTTATTGGTTTCAACTTGAATCGCAAGAAATACCTTTGGATAAGATTCCCGCCATTTGTGGTCAATGGTATCAGCATTTAATGGATCATGTTAATGAGAAAAAGGATCGATATGTCTATAACGTATTTTCTTATTTATCTAAAATATATCCAAGGCTTGAAGGACATTGGAACATTTTGTTTATATTGGTGGGTATCGCTATTGATAGAGTTAAGCAATGTCCAGAAGATAAAATTCTTAGTACAGTTCACCAGATTGACTTCCAACAAGATATCGTTCAGTCATTCTTGCGAATGGTGAAAGATATTTTAAAATTTAGTATCAAAAATACAGACCAGGCTTTGCTCAAAAAAATTAGACTGATCTGTGATTGCAATTCTGAAGTTTTAAATGTTCCTAACGCGTAAGTATTAACATTTTATCAATTTATTATGACCTTGTTTATTGTCAATTATTTAAAATGTTTTTTTTTATCATATATTATACAGTTCATGCGAGGCTATTTTACGTTTTATAATGGATCGATTGAAAATTTTGCACCCATTATCGGATACTTCTGATTTACACATAACTTCCACTACCTTAACCCTCCTTCGTTCTTCTCAATTCTGGAATTTTATATT